TCACCGCGCCGCCGTAGGTGCAGGGAGGCTCCGGAGAGACGCTGGCCTGGTAGTGCTTCAGGCAGACCCGAAAGAAAGTCTTGCACTCGCACTGCTGGTGGCCCTGCGGGTGCGCGGCGCCTCCCGGGCAACAGTTGGCGTTCCCAGCAATCCCCTTCTTGTTGAGAAACTCCTGCAGCTTGAGCTCGAACACGCCTGAGCACAAAACCTACAACACAGAGGGGGGGAAACACTCGTATGGGAAAGATCTGAGAAAAGACTCTTAAGAGTGAGTAAATTAGAATGAGATCTTAGGAGCCCTGGATGTTGGGACGTACCTGGCAGGTGAGAGAGGACAGACTGACAATGAGGAGCAGACACAGGCGTCCCATTGTGTTGACAGCCTCCTCAACAAGCAGCGAAAGCTCCGCGGGTCCGTGTGGCACCACTCAAACACTCATGGAGAAAGTTTTCAAAGCTGCGCTCACGGTCAAGGCGACGTTTTTACGCACGAGGCTGAAAATTAGGAGACACTTTTCCTGGAGCGCGTAGGTCACCTGTCCATCTGCTCACTCCCTCAAAAGTGTCGGATTTGTTTTTTTTCTTTTCTTTTCTCAAAACGAGTCGGACTTTCACAGATTCAAGTAAGATCCAGCGGAATAGTCCCCCTTAGAGAAATCCAGAGCGGAAATATCGGAGTTAATTCCAACTAGGTTGTAGAAAAGATGATCTTCTTTATTTGTTCCAGTTTATTTCTTTGTTTTCAGGATGTTTTCATCCTAAACACAGAAAACAACCTCCGCTCCCTCTCCTTTGATGACATGTATCAGTGAGTAAGTCTGATAGGTTTTCTGCCCTGCGCAGGGTTTTATACAGGGCCAGCAAGCGAAGAGTAATAAGATGCAAATGAGGCCCTCTGCCTCTCTTCTTCCCCTCCTTCCACCACCACCACAAGTCCGCCCCGGGGCCATTACAAAGAAACAGTAGGAGGAGGAGGGTAGGAGCCCCCCCCCCAAAAAAAAAAAAAAAAAAACTGAAGCCCCCCCCCCTCTCTCTTTTTCTCTCAAGGGGACAGACCAAATGGCTACTGAGCTGTTAAATGTACAACAACCTCTCGCTTCCCCTGATGGCTCCCTCCTCCACCGCGCGGAGCCTATTTACATTCCGACAAATTCTTTTACCTCCACGCGAAATCCTCAACTCTACCGGGAGATTTATTATTTGCGCAGCGGCAGCAGCAGCAGCCAGTTAGACGGTGGGTTCTCATTTCTGAGCTGACTATGGTGAAGTCTTGGCTGGCCTGATGGTGGCTGGCTGGCCGCGCAAGCCAGCCGCTAACGACCATCTGCTCCATCGCATTCCTATGGTGTTACCCCGTTTTTTTGAACGTTCCCACCCAAAACCAGTCAATCTGTTCCTGTTGAAGTAATTTATTGACGCGTAGATCTTCTCCGTGCAGGCTAACTGAACTAAAATGCGCGTCCATAATCGTTAAATTAATTATATGTTTGCTGGCAGATGAACTGTTTTGGTTAATTAATAAATAGTTCCCTAAGTATCTAGAAAAAAAACACATTACAAAGCGCTTATCTACTAGTTAAATCAGAGTTTTCTATAAATATTTACAGTGTGTTTGTGTTTATCTTGAGTCGTGTAAGGCTGTAAACATCAATTTTACACTCTCCAAACATAAACATCACATCGGTGCGCAAATATTCCCCCAAATTACGCACAAGGATCACAGATCAGTGCACCTCAAACGTTAATTTCTCTTCATGCCTGTATTTTCCTTACATGCTCTTTGGTATAAGGCAGCAAAAGAAAAAAAAAAAAGTACATGGTGGTGTGTCACTCGCGTGGCTGTCATTAAGGGACTTTGTGAGGAGAGGGCGGAGGGAGGATGAGGAGGAGGGCACTCACAGAGGGAGTAAACTTTTTTCTCTTTGTGCTTTCAGCTGTATGTTAATTGGGCCGGCAGCACCTGCTCTCTCACAATAATACAACACCAGAGACACACACACACACACACAGACACGGAGAGCACGGCCAGTTTTATAAACGGTAATCTGAACGTGTGTTTATATACATATAAATAAATATTCTATCATGTAGAGACACGAACATGAGCTGGTTTTTTAACAATCTGTTGCTAAAAAAGTGACGTGCAGGCCTGTTTGTCTCACAGCCGGATGACATCAGCTCACATGAACTCACAAACTTATTTGCATATGTGTGTTTTTTATCCGCAGAAAAATGCGGGGAAGAATGCGCACTTGTTGCCATGAAGTTATTATGAGCTGGCCTCTGGCCCTAAAGCAGCTTTAGATGCTAATGGTTCTTTGATCAAACTTTAAGTAAATCCCTCAGCATGCTACTCTTCTTCTGCTGTGTCATATTTGTAAAATATCTTAAGGCTTTCTCATTGCTTACAGCTAAGACGTGAATACGTGGGCTATGTTCACAAAAAGTAAATGAAAGGCTTTAAAGAGAGTTGCTGATTGGCCAGAGCAGTTAATTGGTGTTTGGTGCCACATTTGTCAATCACCTCAGGCTTAAGGCTTTGCAGCAGAGACCGGTGAGAGGGCCTCCGCTCTGAATTATTTATTTATTACTGTGTTGGCACAGCAGCAGCGCCCACTGAGAAACAGGCGCTGCACCAGAGCACTATGCCACTTTTTATGTCTATCAACATGCACACAGGTTGGTGAGGAGGAGGAGGAGGAGGAGGAGGAGGAAGGGCCTTAATGAACATCTCCAGTTGAAGCTGCGCTGCATAGCATCAGTGTTTTGGTCCACAAACAAGGAGCCAATTCACAATCTACAGCTAACATATGGCCAGCTTTCAGCCATGTCAACACATACAGGCTGATGTGTTTCTATGTTCAAGGTTTATAAGAAGAAAGAGTGTTCTCACAGCATGATGCTGCCTCCACCATGTCTGGGACAGTGAGTTCAATGAAAAGTGTAGAAACATTGTGCAGCCTGAGCTAAGTCCTAATGCTCCACTGTATAGCATTATTTAAAATAACATTGAGTAATACAAACTGAATGCTGTCACATGGAAAAACGATTTCCATCACTTTTATGGTAAAAGGTTGCTCTCTTTTTGCTGCTGCCACTCTTGGGGGAATATCAGACTTGTTGACTGTAAATTTGGTGTTTATCCGCTGATGTAACTTTCAGATAGATAATATAATATGGCACACTTAAATTCCACTCTGCTTTTCAAAACCCAAATTTTTGTTTTGGTTTGTTTGCTAATTGTGTAAGGTTAAAATAACACCGGCGTGATGTAAGCTAATGACAAACAACGCTAATAATAATAGTTTGTGTGTTTCACACACGCAGTAGCTTAGCAACGATAAAGCATCTGCTGTTGACAATGTTGGCTTAGGGGGCCCAAATAAAAATCTGCTTAGGGCCTCAAAAAGGTTTGGACCGACCCTGCTTCCTTGAGTATAATGTTTGGGTACTGTGCAGTTCTGTTGCAGCGTAAGCTTGTTTTAGTGTCTGTGGATCCCCTGACTGAAAGGCCTTTAACCTTAAGAGCTGACGCCATTATATTCCTGCCTGCCTCAGTTTTTCCACATTTACCCCCTGAGCTGTGGGACGCTGCTGATTTCTGATTTCAGGCCACAGTGTTGCTGCCACCGGTGCTCGTTTGGCATGCCGTAAAATCCGTGTCTTGAAGGTTTTTATTCAAACTCATCCCGACTTTCAGAGGTCCTCTGCACTCCCTCTGTATCTCCTATCAGTTACTCATCGCCATGACGTGGCGCACATTTCCTGATTATGGCAGCAAAGCGTGACTGAAAGGCATGTGAGATGAGCCCCCTCAGCTCAACAACATCAAGACGACACTTCTCCCCCCCAAAACATAATTTATGTCAGGAGATTGTGTGTCTTAAGGAAACAGCAGAAACTCCTCCCCTCTGATCCCTCTTCTTTTGCGTGCGTGCATGTAGATGCGTGGACGCGCGTGAGTGGGAGTGGGGGCGGGGTAAAAATTGTTTAAGTGGAGGTCTGATTGTTTAATTGAAGTGCTTTCCTGTTGTCTATCTGTGTGTGCGCGCGTGTGAGACAGAATAGCTGCATGTGAGCGCGTGTTTGTCGGTGCACGCGCGCGCTCGCTCAGCGGGAACAACAAAGGGAGAGGTCTCGCGCCCCGCCGCCCATTCATCTCTTTCTCTGGTGGAGTAATTCCCATTGATTCCTATTGAACGGCGAGTCGTGAGCCCCTCAGGGGAGAACTTGTGATTTGTGAAGGGTCGCGAGGACAGGACACGCCCCTCCTCGAGCCCCGGCCATCTGCTCACCAAACACCACAACACCGACCGAGCCGCCACCAAATGTCCTCTCTCATCACTGACTGCCTACTGGCTCTTATAACTCTTAATTTTCTGTGCCATCGTTTTTATTTCTCTGCCTAATCTGCAGCAGCAGCAGAAGAAGAAGGAGCCACGCCGCGCTGTGGGTGAAGCTGCGGGCCTCCAGAGCCAAATCACAGTGGTGGCATGCAGGGGCTGTGAGGTGGCCATATGGCCTGTGAGTGTGTGTATGTGCGTGCCAAGAAATGGATGGATGGCCATCGTGGGAACCTCCACATCATCACCATCACACCAGCTACACACATACATGCACATTGTTGCACATAGCGTGATGGCCTTTGCTTCAGTCAGCTGTAGAAATCAAAGTTCAAAAGGACTCTGGACTGCATGGTTCAGCAAAGCTCTGGTTCTGGTTTACATGAAAGAATTTAGATTAGCATCACTGCTAAGTGAGATACAGCTCAACTGAGATGGATATTCAGTCATGCAGAAAGAAGTCTAGCTGTTAGAGAACATTGATAGATTGTAAAGGCCAACTGAGTGTAGTTACTTTTGTTTATTGGTTAAGGTTATACTGGCCCTTTGCACATGACGTCACGCTCTTCAGAACTGTGCCTGCTCCGCCATGATGGACGTCAAAGCAACCAATGCGCTCTTTGCACATGACGTCACGCTCTTCAGAACTGTGCCTGCTCCGCCATGATGGACGTCAAAGCAACCAATGCGCTCCTTTAAGTCCTGTCAACAAACAGACATCTGGTGGCAAAATATTGCTTTGATTTAGTTGATTTCACTTTAAAGATGGTGACAGGGTATTTTTGTCGGCTGCACAAACAGACAAGGACGCAAACCAAAACTTGTTTTTATTTTATAACTTTTAATGAGCAAAGATACGGCGGCGGATAGCAGCCGTCAAACAGAATGACTGTCAGCCCTGGACGTAACCGCGGATTTACAGCAAACACTTTTTACTAGGTAAGAAGATTAACGTTAATATACTTTATATGCAAGTATAATTATAAAGATATCAAACATGGTGTTATGGAGAAAGTACGATATAGCCATTAGGAACCATAATGCCGCACCGTCATGTAGCCTAGCATACGGAAATTAGCATAGCGTCTTTTGTACGTTTTTAGGTTGCTCCTGTGTAAGGGGGAAACGCTGTTTATGACATAGTGACATAAATCATGTGGTGTGAATTCAGGCAAAGTCTGTAATTTGATCAACACGTCAGGAGGGAGTGGGTTGGTTTCCAAGCTAGCCGTTTTGTAAATACCGCCGTCTTTGAACCTCAACCAGGTGTGTTACGTTCACAGACAAATTAGCTCGAGTCGAACAAGTAGAAACCATGAATAAACTGACAAAAACAACTTTGGAAAACAACTAAAGTCGCTCTGTTCAATATTCTTGTCCCTCACTACCGATGTTCATCATGGCGCCTCGAATGATTAAGTGATGTAGATACACAGGGTCAATGCTTTTATTTTGGTAACTTCCTTGTTAAGGTAGCTATGGTAACAGAACACACCTTGTAACTGCAATAAATTAAAACAGAAAAACGAATAAAAAGCAACTTCAAATTTTAGCTTCAGTCAATAAGGGAATATTGGGAATATTTAAGTTTATTTGAGTAATTTCAAATGTTTATGAAAATTAAGTTATTGCTCGCATTAATGAATAAATTGTACCGATGTAACAATTTTTATTTGTTCTTGTCTAGCTCTTACAGTGGTTGATGGCCTTAATAAATCTTCATTTAACCATCAGTTCCGGCCTTTTCAAAATTGACTGGATGCTGCACAGAGATAGATGGAGAGATAGAGGACAATTATTTAACACTGGCATCAGACTATAACTTATATTAATCAATCAAGTTTGTTTGTATAGCATCTCAGCAACAAGGAAGTTCAAAATGCTTCACGTCATTAAAACACAAAAATAAAGTCATAAATACATCATATAGTCACCAATCGAGAAACCAGTAACAAACATATATTATAAGTTAAGATGGTTTGTTCCACTGGTAGATTATTTCAGTCATAACTAGTACTGTTTCATCAAGATTAAGGAATTACTTACTTAAAACAAACTCATATTTCTTGCTGAAAAGTTTTTTGTAAATTACTTGTTATTTAAAGTGTACGAATTTTGTAATATTTTAACAGTTTAATAGGAAGTTTTAGCAACACATTTTGCCACAAATGGCCCTTTTCAATCAGACGCCACTGATCTAACGGATCAGTTGCACTGTGAAGTTTGATACTTGATATGAACTAGAAACAACCAGACAAATCTGTCTTTCCTGGATTATGAACAAATCACAGAGAAGCTGCCCCTGGAGATGCCTGACCCGCCGCTCTCCAGGAGTCCTTGGCCTTTAGCTTGAGAAGCAGCGGTCTCCAGCAGCTGGATTAGCCGGGCCAGCTGCCCGCAGAGACGCTGGACCCTGGACGCTGACACCAGGCCCGACCCCCAGTGTTCCTGCTATCAGGAGACCTGAGGGGATCTGGACAGGGCTTGGTGTGTGTGACTGCGTATCTGTGTGTGCTGCTCATTCAATCGGACAACTGTTGAGCTCTTACAGATTTGGGCAGCAGCGCTCTTTGTGCGAGTGTGTGCGTGCTTGTATGGCCAATTCTTTCCGGGGGTTAACTGCTGATCCAGTACAAATGGGAGGTGCTGGGGGTGGGTGGGGGCCTTCAGCGGGGCTGAGGGCAGTCGTGTGCTCCTAGAACATCTGCCTCTGTTACCCCCGAGTCAAGCTTTGGTCAGGACGGGAGAGGAGTGGGGGTGGGGGGCTGCAAGGAGACGGGAATCAAAGGGGATGCCATCGAAGAGGAGAAAGAAGAGCAAGTGTAGGAGGAGGAGGAAGCTGAAAAGATCTAACGTGAATAGGCAGCAGACCCAAACTATGAGAAATGAGAATGAGATGCAGGATTATGGAGTTTAAGCCCCACTCTGGACTGGCCACTGTGTAGCACTTTGTGGGGGGTTGAGTATGAATGTATGCATGCAGATGTGTGCAAAAGCAGGTGTTCAGTTTACTGGAGCAAGCACGTGTTTTACAAGCAGGTGTTTATTTATAGGCCGGAGTTTTGATAAGACTCAACATTAAAGCTGCAGTAACTTTTATAAAGAATGTGGTTTTTACATATTTGTAAAACTGTCAGCATGTTGTGACAGTTTGAGACGGATAACCTGTGAAAAGATCGATCTCTCCCTGAGCTGCTGTTGCCGTCTGATGAAATGCACTGATCCCAACCAAACACAGCAGGAAGGAGGGTCTTACTGCTGTCAATCATCCTCATGTATTGGCTGCTAAATGTGCTGGCAGGAAAACCTATTTTCACAGATTATCTGTTTCATACCAACATCTCACGACAAATTGACGGTTACAACAAACGTTAAAAAAATTTATAAAAGTTACATACTGCAGATTTATCACATTTTACGATATTAAACTGAAAAATGGACTTGCTCTCATATTTTAAATAGAAATGTCTGCCTAGCTCAGGTCTACTTTTTTAAACAAAATTAAGAATGCATTTGTTCTCTAATGTTATATTATTTCAATAAAAAATGTAATGCAAATTTATTTCTCTTCTTGCCTTATAAATGAATAAAACGTTTCAATTCAGTTTCACCCAAACTTAGAAACTTCCAATCTTAAAACTGAGAGGAGGAGGAGTCCTGCTGCTTCCTCTCTCTCTCTCTCGTTTGTGACTAAAATTTACAACGTTGCTCCTCCTTCCTTGGATAAAGTGTTTGAGAAGAATACTGGTTGTTTGGGAGGATTGTCCACTCAGCCCATGGAGCATCTGGCTGAGAAACAACAGATGCTGACAGCTGGACTGACTGCCAGCATATGTTCCCTTCCTTATTATTGCTCGGAGCAGACAATAGAACGGACGGGATGGGGTTGCTTTGTGTTGGGAAGGTAGACCTAATAGCTTGTGACTCCAGAGAGGAGGACCACCCCCTCCCATTCTCTTTGAGTGCAATTAGACCCTTACTTACTCTTGCCTGGAGAGGTATTATGAGGTCTGACTGAACCCACAAAACTACAATGGTTCATTCTCATTCATGACACTTTTAGAAAGTGTATTTGTAATTACGGTAGAACTCGAGCACCGGCAACCTCGGTTACGTTTTCTAAAAGCCTGCATATTCATTAACCCTCTGTTTTGGACATATTATTTCACAAATATGTGCTCTTAAACATTGAACATTGAAATTCAGTGCAAGAAATGACTAAAAACTTCCACTAACATTTAGGATTTATACAGTAGACTTTATTTAATGTGAAGGAGTTATTCTCCAGTTTCGCCCAACAGTTTAGTGGGCCATTGGAGACGACAGAGAAATATTTCAGAGTCCACTGCACTGAACAACACTGAAAAACTCCTGGTTATTCCACCAAATATTGATTTCTGAACTCTTCCTGAGTTAAAACATTAGCATTGTTGTCTGTAAATGAATATTTCTTGTTTTCTTTGCATTATTTGAGGTCTGAAAGTGCTGCATCTTTCTGTTATTTTGACCATTTCCCATTCTCTGCAAATAAAAACCAAACTTTTGCTTGGATTTTCAGAGACATGTTGTCAGTAGTTTATAGAATAAAAGAACAATGTTCATTTTACTCAAACATATGCCTATAAAGAGTAAAATCAGAGAAACTGATCATTTTAAGAGGTCTCTTGATTTTCTTCCAGAGCTGTATATATGTTAATCTATTGTAGTGTAATTTAAACTTGAATTTCTGCAGGATGATTTCATTTTTTGTCTGTGAAAAAAACATAAATAGTCATAAAAATGACTATTGCACTGCAAAAACACAAAATCTTACTAAGTATTTTTGGTCTAGCTTCTTGTGTAAACTTAGAAGTAATGTTTCAGCCAGAAATAGGAGCTTGTTTTAAGCTATTAATTAATTAATACTGATGAAAATGAACTAGTTCCATTGGCAGATTATTTCACTTATAACATGGCACAAATGCCATGGAAGTACTTTCAGCCTTTGTTTGTAGTTTTCAAGAGTTGCAGGTTATTTGCAGTCAAGGACTGGTGATTCAGATCCCTGATTTAGAACATATAAATGCCAGAATGTGCTTTTATTTACATTCCAAATCTGTTAGTTTAGGTCAAGTACTATTTCCATTTTTGGGAGAAAAGGAGCAGGATTGTAAATACCCGTAAACCGTGACAACGGGCTGGACTAGAGCTGCAACAGTAAGGACATCTACAAGAAGAGACAGAGTAGAGTCCTTCAGTGTTTGATGAAGATTCAGCAAATCTTCTGTAAGTCTTTTATGGAGAATGTAATCTCTTATTTGTTGGGGTAGCATTATGAGACCCAGGGACTTAACAACACCAATTTAGCAACTCTTTATTGTGTAAAATAAAAATTAGAACCATGTGCTCTTTATGAGACAACAACAGATTGTCTTCAGTGAGAGGCTTCTTCAGAATCCCTGTAATACAGTTACCTACAGGAGCCACATCTCCAGTAAATCTTTGAAGAAAACTGCATAATATGACTTACAAGAACATTTACTTTCTCTCTGAGATTAAAAAAGTATTTTTTTTTAATGAATGCAGATACTTTTCAAGAAAATATTTTATATTCGAACACATTATACAAATAAATAAATCTAAACCTTTCCAGAAACGTACCTACGTTTTGATTTGAAACTGCAGATTCGTTCCGCGCCTTGGATTGGAACGCGATGACGTCACGCGCACACCACCGGAAGTAATTTGAATTTTCGTCATGTAAACAGCGCACCGACAAACACTCCCCACCCCTGATAATCACCCAGAGGTTTCATAGTAAGTTTAAGCTGTTGGCGACAGCAGATCATTAAATATTCCTCGCAGACTCTTAAGTGTTGTAAAGACGCGACACGCAGCTGTGAACAGTTATGTGACTGGGTAAAAATAAAAATATCCGTATTTTTATGTAAGGAAACTGCCCTACTGTCTGTTGTGACCGCAGCAGCAGCAGCAGAGATAACGCATGCTTCGGATTCAAATCCTTGATCGAAATAACATATCAGCAACAATAATGTAATTTTAACGCTATTCAGTAAAGTTTCGTCTTATTCAGAGGACATATTTATTTATCTACTTTATGGATGTGTTTGTTTGCGCTCTGCAGAAATGGGTGTAAAAGGTCTGCAGAGCTTCGTGGAGCGATGCTGTCCAGAGGCGTGTGTGACAGTGAACCTGAGAGAGATGGCCAGACAGCATGTCACCAAAAACCAGCAGAGCGGCTCCTCTAACATCACCAGCTGAGTTTCTCTGTTTCACTGTGGCTTTGTACCATAATGCTGAAACGATGTTGACCTTATTTTCACTAATAAAAACTGTGAGGGCTAATGCATCTCTCTGGACTTGTGTCAAGTCTACTTTTTAAATATTTCTTCAAAACATGACCTTTAGATACTGTTAAGATGGATGCTTTCTCTTCAGTTTGTTACTTGTTTTAGTTTATTTCCTTGTAATGCAAATCTCAGTGAGATATGCCAGGTTTTAAATTCGTCTGTCACTGAGAGTAACATTATTTTGTCAACAATCCCATTTTACATCCACCATCCTTTGACTTGTTTGTAGAAACAAATAAGAACAATTCCAACAAAAATAATAAAAAATGCTGCTTATGCATGGAAGCATGGGAATTAATTATTTAACCACTGGTAAGGCTTTTTCTGGCTCACACTATTTTTGATATTTACTTTCAAATAAAGAAGAAAAAATTGACGTCTGATGTTTCGATAGCGATTTATTATAATGTTAACTATTATTACTGAATGCATGTTTTTCCAAATCATGCACTTATCCAGCTAAACATTTCTTTCCTGCTGGACTTTGCTTTGTTTTTGCACGTCGTTTCATTTTCCTGTTTCGTCGTTGTGCAGGTCCCACACTGGTTGTTGACGGCATGTCCTGCCTCTGCCACTGGTACTCATGTATGAACTGGGTGTGTGGAGGCCAGTGGATGGAGTACATGGAGGTTCTGAAGCAATGGGTGGAGACTTTTACCTCTGCAGGCATCAAATTGGTTTTTTTCTTCGATGGAGTGGTGGAAGAGCAGAAGAGACCAGAGTGGGTGAGGAGAGACACAGATTTATTTGCTCTGTTTATTAGGCACAGCAAACATGTCCTGCTTGTGTTTTCATAGGTGAAAAGGCGACTCAGGGTGAACAAGGATATTATAAAAATATTCAACCACATTAAGCAACACGGAGAACAGCCGGGTCAACAGCTCTCCTGTCTGCCATCCGCTCTGGCAACATTCACTCCTTTTGCTCTCAGGTTAGCGTTTCCCTGACTGAAGATGATGCAGCTTTTTAATTTAATTCTTAAAGACAGAGGATACAGAGTTTTGTTGGATGAAGTTTGATCAGCTGCAGTTTGGTCTGCAGGTCACTGGGTCAGGACGTGTTCTGCTCAGTGAGAGAGGCGGACTATGAAATTGCCAGCTATGCTCACTGCCATGGCAGCATGGGGATTCTGGGACAAGACACAGACTTCATCATATATGACAGGTTTGTAAAAAAAATGATTACATTGGTGTAGCTGGATTTTAAAAGTGCGTTGTAATGGCTGCAAAATGGCAGGTGCAGCCTAAATTGCTGTGTTGGACTACATGTTGATCTTATACGAAGATGATAATAAGTGATGGAGAACGTGGACAAACTGATCTGAACACGTAGTTTTATCTCATCTCTTAAGTGCCCCCTACTTGTCCGTGGCAAAGCTGCGAATAAATGGCCTAACGACGGTCATGTATGACCGGCAGAGGCTCTGCAGAAACATTGGGCTGAGCGTGACCCAGCTGCCTCTGCTGGCCTGTCTGCTGGGTAATGATGTGGTTTCAGAGGAGCTCATGCAGCACATCAGGAGCAGTGCTGTGGCAGCATACAGGTATCAGTCGCAAACCTGTAATGTACTGTGAAAAAATGTCTGTATTCAATTTCAACCCAAATAACTCCAGTACAGTGTGGTTTAAAGTTATTTTTATTCATACTGTCTAGTAAAAATACTTCTAAAAATATTTTTTCCCCAAAAATTACTCAAGTAAATGTAACCACTTACTAGCTACCTCTGGTAATTTACACTTAACAAACGTAGGAAGCTTTGCATTCACTTTGATTTTCTGGAAACAGTTGAGTGATAACAGTTTCCAGTTGAGTGATAAGTTTCCAGTTATCACTCAACTGATAACTGAGTGATAACTGGTTCTCAGTTTGTTGGTGATGTTTGAAAAAGATGCTAAGATCTTTGTCGTTCCCAGGAGAACAAATCCAGCGCCGTATTGTGGTCCTCCTCAGGGTGAGGTAGTCCTGGCTGTAGCCCAGTTTGTGAGCTCTTTGTCTGCTTCTCCAGAGGAAACTGGACTTGTCCCACATTCCCTGAATGTAGCATCTTCCCAAAGGGAGCTGCTAAAGAAGGGAATCTGCTCCTACTTACTTCCTGGACACAAAGATTATGAACTGGTTGACATTTCTGTTCCACCCTCTGCCTTTGAGAAATACGTTAGTCCTGAGATTTTAAAGGTATGTTATGATTCATAATGTGCGTCTTAGCTGTAAATCTCCCTGCAGCTTGTAACATACTGAATACCAGAAGAGCTAAATATTTTTGCTGTGTGGTTTTCCGCAGGCATGTAGAGAGAAACATGTAGCGGCGGAGGGTTTCATGGTTTACAGTGTTGTGTGCGCTGGAGTCACCGAATGCAGTAACTCTCTGGAGGACGAAGAGGACGAGGATTTGCTGCCTCAGGCCTTCGTCTACAAGCCGTGCAGACAGCGCGTCTATGGTTTGCTGCTGTTGCTCGGAAAAGATGGTACGAAAGCAAAAACGCATAAAGGTTTAAGTGGATTCATAAAAATATGCCGAAGACACTGAAGCTGCTTCTGGAGAAAAATGGTTTGATGTCACCAAACAGTAAATTTGGGTGAGACGTGTAATTTTCTGCGTGTTCTTAGGCAGCTCTGTGGATGCTCCAGCCATCAGGGAATGGTTCGTCTTCCCTGGAAACCCTCTGAAAGAAGCTGACACGGTCCATCCCGTCCCCATTAACATCCCATGTACGCTTCGCTCCTGCTAATTTACTGGGAACGACTGTCTGAAAACGGCCTAAAAACAAAAACATCTGTTATCTTTTAAATGGTGTGTTGCGTCTATCTCATCTTGTGTTCTCTTCTGTCTTAATTTGTAGGTGGTCAACCCAGTCTGGACCTGTTATGGTTTAGCTCTGGTCCTGAGGTTTCTGCTCTTCGCCTTGCAGCCTTCCTTACTGTCTTTGACTGCCTTCACTATTCTGACTTGCATGGAGAGATTGGAGACTCTCTCCTGGCGGCTCTTTGTCTCGTCACATACATCGTCCTTCAGGTACCGCCGTCTTGCTTCACCGATGATTTTGTTCTGTTTATCTTAAAGAGGACTTATTTCGCTTCCCTGAGTAGGTTAGCTTCAGTCAGTGGGTGACACAGAACATATTTGTTACATTTTGTGCACAAAATTATTCTGAGATAATGATATTTGAGTCTGCTCGGTTCTGCCTATTTTGAGTTGTTTTAGGGTCTCTTGTCACTTTAAATCCAAAAAAGTCACTGATGGCGACCCACCGCCCCCAGCTCAATGTTTACACTGACATGTGAAAATGACTGCAAACACATGCACAATTATACAACCGCACATATTTGAAAAGCAGAAGTGGAGCCTCCTGCACAACCAGCAAGAATGCAGCAAGTGTTTTCTGGATGCTAAGTCAACAGCAAAACACTTGTCTTTTCCAGTAGCCGTTATGCAGCCCATATAGCTGTAAAACCAGCTGACCAAATGCGCTGGAGCTCATCTTGGGTTGTTAGTTGACGGGCTGGGTTCGGCTGAGGTTTCTAGGTAACGGTGCAGTTCCTGTCGAATATGACGAAACAGTCTGGAGGTTCATCAGACACTAAAAAACATTAACTTATTGCCAATAAACAGCTGGGTGTTTTTTTAAGCACTTGGTCTGTTTTTAGAAGCAGTAGAAACCAAAATGGAAATATAAAAACATCCAAAATGTTAATTTTACATAATAGGTCCCCTGTAACTTTTTTTAATTGTAGAGAAAATCAGTGAAGCGTGTCAGATGTATTCTCTGATTCTTTGTCTAAGTCACATAAATCATTAATCATAATGGCAACTACAATACTTTCATTAAGCTGCTTTGTCAGAATATTCATAACCTTTTCACATTTTTTGTACTTTATTGGGATTTCATGAGGCAGACCAACACATAATAGAGCACAATTAAGTGTAAGGGAACGAATACATGATTTAAAAAGGTTTTTCAAACAAAACACAGAGAAATATTGAGTCATTCAACCCACTTTACTCTGGTACCTCTAAATAAAGTCCAGTTCAACTGAGTACTCTCAATACTCCAGGGTAGTGAATACAGTTCACCTGTTGATCTCAGTAGAAATGCAGCAAAGAGGTAAGTTGGAGAACATTAGAGAATAAACTGTGTCATTCAGACCGAGGAACACAAAAGAACAGTCAGAAATAAAGTGGAGAAGTTTAAATGTCTTGTTCAGTTATGAAAACAATATTCTTTGAACGTTTCACAGAGAACTGCTCAATGTAGCAGCTGGAAATGGGAAGAGTCCAGCAAATATACTAAACTACCATCCAGGGAGGGGTTGGACACAAATCCCTGCCACACTTTTAAGATTTTTAATTGGAAAAAGTTGAGACCCGTGTATCATTTTCTTCTCAATCCTGTGCCGCCATGTGTTGTTCTGTAACGTAAAATACCAATAGCAGCTCAGGTAAGTTGTCTTGCACTCCCATCATAATTCATGATTTGTTCACTTACATAAAACACAGAGACATTGTGATTGAACGGCACTTCTAAGTGCTTACGTCTCCACCTTGATTAATACGTCTGTTGTGGGTTTCCGTGGTCAGGTTTGCATGTTTGGCGTAGCCTCCAAAGAATACATTCTGCTGGTAATGAATGGGTGGTAAGGCTACACCTGCTGATTTATGTAAACAGTAAATGAAAGACCAAATTTATTTGGTGACATGTAAACAGACAAGTTGGCTTTGGATTTGGGATTCACATCACTGACATACACAACAATTATTCTGCTCTTTTGTCAGCATGTGATGTGAAATTAAACACTGCTTGTTGACACGAAGGGTTGTGTTGTGCTGCTATTGGCTGAGCGCCGCTTTTATCACCCACAGAGTCCGGAGTTAAGCTGCAGACACTGGTCTTTGTAACTTCTGCTCTTGCGTCAACAGCAAGTTTTCAGAGCATCAGAAGGCTTTGAATATCTAATATCAAATTGGCCGTAAGTTTTAAACAAATTCAGAATATGTGAAAGTTGAAGACTTTGTGTTTTTTGAGCCTGCAACGACGTCATCTGGTTATCTGAGGGATCAAACCACCTGGATTAACGTGCGTGCATCATGACAAAGAAGCAAAACAAAAATTAGAAAGCAGTTTGATGCTTTGTTAGTCCAAAAATATGAGGGATGAGGGACATAGTTATGTCTCTCATGTATGAGGTTTTAAATAAACTGCTGTAGTTTATCAGTTAACATATATACCATTTAATATTGAGTTTAGTTTATGTGTTCAATTAAATTCAGTTTAAAACTATTTATCCCAAAAGGAAATTATATGTCATCATAACTCATATTCAGACACACAGCTCTGGAAAAAATGAAGAGACCATTTAAAATGATCAGTTTCTCTTTACAGGTTTATGTTTGGTTAAATGAACTTTGTTCTTTTATTCTGTGAACTTCTGACAACATGTCTCTGAAACGCCAAGCAAAAATGTAGCTTTTATTTGCAGAAAATAAGAAAAGGTCAAAATAAAAAAGATGCAGAGCTTTCAGACCTCAAATTATGCAAATAAAACAAGTTGATTTAGAAACAACAATATGAATGTTTTACCTCAGGAAGAGATCAGAGGTCAGTATTTGGTGGAATAACCAGGAGGTTTTCAGTGGGGCTCAGATGCGGTGGGCTCTTAGTTCCCAGAGCTGTATTTGGTGATGCTGCAGACAGGAAGGATCTCCAGTAGCAGTCAGTGTTGCAGTGAATCTGATGAGGCCTCTGACTGAAAACTGTTGGCCTACAACAGTCTCAAGTCTCAATAAGCAATAAATCAACTAATGACATAAATTAAAATGAGGTCAGTAATTTCCGTTTGTATGATTGGTTTTTCTTTTTCTACCAAAAACTGGGTGACAAAAGTCTTCGGTCTGGAGTTTTGGCCTCAACTAGCAGTTTTATTTACAGAGACTTAAGTATTCATTCTTTCATTGATTCTGTTGTTTTGTTAATTTATTTTGGATATTTTAATCGTCTTCCATTTCAGGTGTTAAATGTTTGTTAGAAATTAGAGCTTATTGATATTTGAGAGGCCGTACTTTCATATTTATGCTATTACTATTATATTACTTGGAAAGAGTCTCAAAACAAGAATATAATTGTTTTTTGCTATAACCTCTAGGGCAATTTGTTGTCCATCAGTATTTGTTATCATGACAAGCCTATCAGAAACTCGGTATCCAGGCAGCAGAGACAATATTCCACGGTAACATGTCCTGAATGCTAATCCATATCCTTTGCTTTTGCAACGTCTCTGTCAAAAGAGAAAATTTAGAGTTTTATCGGCAGATTAAAGTCGGATTTTCTTGTCAGCATGCATATCATGAGCCAAACTTTTAATGTGTAACTTAATAATAAGCTACAGGTAACTCAAGCAAAAATAAATGTCACTTTAGACTGAGAGGTTTAATAAAATCAAAGTTTTAATTCGGTTTCCCGTTAACCGAATTAATGTCCTTTTTAAGCTTCTTCACACCAAAATCACATTTTAAGTAATTTAAACATAAATCCTTCTCTTTTATGGAGGTTGAATTGCAGTTTATGGAGTCGTATTAACATTAAATACTTGAGGTTGGCGTGTTGAATGGACAGCTGAGCGACCGACGGGCCGTTTTCCAGACACACTGATTTCAGTCCCACAGCCAGACGGTGACTGGCAGCCGCTGATTTAAATGGATGAAGGAGCAACAGACAGACATGAGAGCAGCTTGTCAAACAGACCATTAGACGAGTAGATAATCAGAGATGAGCCGACGGCCTGACACACAATAGTGGCCGTTGTCTGATCTGTGCTGCATTCACATTCCCCTCTCACTGCTCTATTTAAATAACTTCGGGGTTTGTTTGTTTTGCTCACACAACCGGGCAGCTTTGTTTCTGCTGTCAGCATTGTTTCTTTCTCTGTTGAATTGTTGCGCAGCGAGCAGACCAAACAAACGCACCCACACTTGGATGTGATTGAATTTGCAAACCATATATTTTCCTCTCTCTCTGTGTGTGGTGTGTTGTTTTATTTTTGTGTGTTTATTTTTTTGTTTGCGTGTCAGGTAGAGGCTTTGTCTGAGGAGGACGTGGATGCGTACCTGAGTCAGGCCGTGTGTCTGAGGCTGAAGTCGCCCCTGGAGCTTCGGCAGATCCAGGTCAGTCACACACGGATTATCATCAACATCACTTAAAAAAAAAAGATCCTGATTTTTCCTCTCTCGTTTGTTGTGATAAACTCTGTTGGGCTTTATGCGGCCAAAAAGACAATGCATGCTTGAATTTACAGTAAACAAGTCGACTTGTGGTAAACACAACTTGGAAAGCGCTTCCATTATTAGAAAGTTTAGGGAAAAAGGAGAGAAGATGGCAAGAAAAGTGCTGACTTTCCTAGAAATCGTGGAACAACTTTTAAAAAAAGCAGGAGGAAAATGCGTACAATAAACTGCTCTGGTAGTATTTTGAATTATGGGAAAGTTTTAAGAGGGCTGGGGATGGACACCACACTGCAAAAACACAAAATCTTACAAACAACTTTGGTCTAGTTCCCAGTGCAAATATCTTTGTACACTTGAAATAAGATAAAACGAACTTACAAGTAGCTTTTCAGCAATGTATATTAGCCTGTTTTAAGTCAATAATTCCTTAATATTGATGAAAAAGTGCTAGCTCCATTGGTAGATTATTATTCATACATTTTCCGTATTTTAAGGGAAATAATCTTCCAGTAAGCAAGTACTAGTTCATGAATATTAAGGAATTATTGACTTAAAACAGGCTAATATACATTGCTGAAAAGCTACTTGTAAGTTCGTTTTATCTTATTTCAAGCATATTTGCACTGGGAACTAGATTATAATTATGTTATGCATTTTCAGATTTTCTCTTGTATGCTTTAATTTCTTTTTTCACAATTTCTTTTGGATAACAATCTTGGCTGGCGGTTGTCAGACCTCATGTTGAAAAGTCCAGAACAACCAAGGATAAATAAAATAACAAAAATGGATTTTTATTCCTACAGCTGTGTGTTTGTGAGCTGTTTTCATTTTTCACAGTAAAGTTCTATGACCAACTAACTCACTCTTTGGTTACCTAGCAACTCACTCACTATTCTTTGGTTACCTAGCAACTCACTCACTCTTCTTTGGTTACCTAGCAACTCACTCACTCTTCTTTGGTTACCTAGCAACATCCTGCTAAGTAAGTTCTGTTGCAGCAGTTTAAGGTTTCGCCACTGAGCCTCATAACTGCTTAGAAATAAAACTGGATCAAACATGACGGGTTGCAGTTTGGGAGTGTTTCAGATAGTTAAAACAAAAAAATTAATCAATAATTATTGATATAAAACACTTATCGTGATACTTTTTTCAGCCATAACGTCCAGCTCTACCGTAAGAAATTATTTTACTTTTCCTAAATTCAGTTTTTTTTTCTTCTGTTCTTCATTTTTAGAATTTGAAGTTTTGGTAAGTAAACTAATTCTCCAATCTATAGAAAACAATTATTTGGTTAATGTCTTAAACTTTCAACAGTCCTGTTAAAAATTGACTGGTTAATCTAAATGTGTTTAAACATATCCATTGATAGTCTTGTAGTATCGAATATATTTCATATGAAAGTAAAGAAGCTTTTTTATCTGTCAGGTGTGATAATACTCTATAACTTTATAATTAATTTCAGTTTTCAGGGAGTTTAGTTAATCTGACGGTGAGATCCATCAGTTTCCTGCAGATGAGCGTTTTCACTCTCTGGGAAAACAACCGCAGCGTTTCCTCCCTTTTTTCCTTTTTTTTTTTTGTAGCCCCATTTATTTTTACAGCTTAATTACTGTACTCACGTCAAGTAATTTGTATTTTTTGCAGCTCGTCTGTTCTCCATACAATAATTAGGGCTGGGTGTTGATTTGAATGCGACGGTGAGGAGGAACTGAAGAGGGGCTTTAACTCACTTTACTGATTTTTAACTAAATGCATCACACTGCAGTCTGACACAAAAGACAGTTTCTAACAAACTGGTGGTTTATTAACTTACTGTGTGCGTGTGTGTGTGTGTGTGTGTGTGTGTGTGTGTGTGTGAGAAGGAGGTAGGTTTTCAGTGTAGGTAGGTTTTCGTTGCATTCCTCCCCTTGGGACTGTGATTTTGGTGTGTGTGACAGGGAGGCTACGCTGGCGACAGTAGGCCGCCTGTCCTGGCTGACGCTCACCACATGGAGCTATTTACACCATACACACTCCGCCCCACTGGACACACACACACAGACAGACACATTTCAGTCTTTGTCTCTGGCCTTTGTGTGTTCTCATGTTCTCCTACTCTAAGCATCCGACCACTTTCTCCTTTTTCTGTTTCTCTTCATGTTTCTCTGCGTCTCTTTTTTCCCCCTCTGTGTTGGTGTCAGTGTGTTTGTGTTCCCCTTTGGGCCCTTTGTGTCTCAGCTCAGTGATCCATTGTTTTCAGAAGATGAAGCTGTGTTTGACTGGAAGCAGGTGGCAGGCAGGGCTGTGTGTGTGTGTACATGTAATCACTGTTATCAGGGCTGTTTGCCAGAGGACAGGTGAGAGCAGACACGCACACGCACACACACACACACACACACACACACTGGGGGAACATCTGCCTGTTGTTACCGACCACTGTCTTTACCGTCTGCATGTTTTCAGCTCTTAGCCTTTATTGTCTCCTCCAGCTTCACTTTTTCTTTTTCCACAGTACATATAAGTGTGTTTTTTTATTTATGAGGGGTTCTGTGGAGTACTAATGAGCAGTCAGTGTGTTAGATGCAGTAGACAGCTGTCCAAATTGGAGAATTTGGGAGAAGTTACTATTCTAAGACATTCAATCAGTCAGTCAGGTTTATTTGTGAAGCGCATTTGAGCAACACGGCGGTTCAAGGTGCTTTACATAATAAAATCACAAAATTACAATACAGTTAACAACTGATTTTGATGTGTGCCATCACCAAATATCAAATATTTTGGTCAGTGTTTCATTTATTATGGTTCAAAAGCAATTCTAAACATGTGAGGTCTTAGTCTTGATTTAAAGGAACTCAGTTTCAGCTGTTTTGTAGTTTTCTGGAAGTTTGTTCCAGTCATAGGTACTCTGAGCAGAGGTCTTCATTCAGTGTTTTCATTTAGCGCGTGAGCTACAAACTCTAAACAGAAGCCATCAGAAAAAAAATATCTGGTCGGATGAAAGTTAGTTTTATCAAAAACTGCAATGTTGTGGTAAAAGATTGTAGATTTGAAAGGTGTTTTAATGTGGATGTTGAATTTTTTCACAGCTGGAAATCCCTGAAGTGCGTCTTGTGTGTTATCTGTATACACAAGTCTAGCATCACATGTTCTCCTGTTGAGAGTACAGATTGCTTGACTCATCCTTAGACCACCACAGTGCATGGAGTTTTTCAGATATAGTATTAAAATCACTCAATTTTGATACTGATGTGTTTCTCTTTGACGTAGCTTAACATGCTATTTGCCGTCATGGTTGTACTTCTGGATAAAAGTAAAATTTGGTCAGGGCGCTCACATTCTTGGACCGTCTTGTTATCTTGACCTTATCTTTGCTTGATAATTCCAACTCTTCAGGAAGTAGGTAGACAGATAACTGGACGGATTTGTCCTCGCTATCTGACGGCTAACAGAGCAGTGCAGCAGTGAAGAGGGCGGCTTGAGCTGGACGTAATTGGCTACTTTATGTCAGGGAAGCAGATAAGGTCGTGCAGTTGATGTTGCCAAAGCCGATTTATTGTGGCGTATTAGGGCAATTGTGGACAGGAAAAAAAAGAAGTGCATTTGTGCCAAAAAAAAGCAAAAATTTTGAGATAAATCCCAGAAATTTTCTAGAAAAAACATGGACATTTCTGAGTTTGTTTATTCTAGAAAATTCCTGAAATTAAACTAAAAATTTCCAAGTTGTTTTCTTGCAAATTTTTGACTTTTCAAATTCAGAATTTACAAGTTTTTTTTCCCAGAAAACTCCATAAATTAAACAAAAACTTTCTGAGTTTTTTACTAGCAAATTCCTGATTTGGAGCTCAGAAATTTTAAAGTTTTTTTTTTCTAGAAAATTTCAGTTCTTTTGGCAGAAATTTACTCCTTTAATCCTTTTTTTATATCTACACGATTGAATACGCCTTTGTACTGATTAGCTCTGCCACCATGCGGGTTAAGTTTTTTCTGCAAACTTTGACTCCTAACAAAAAATAAAAACATGGATGAAAACAACTCATTACTGGTGCTAACACTGTTGTGAGAACCCCCAAAGTAAAAGGAAAATCTAGTATTTTGTAGCAAAACACAACCACATGCCTCACAAGCAGACAAACAGATGCGGTGAGTTGATGTTGAAGTTTTAATGAAAGAATAATTAAACAAGAACTTACGACACAAGAAGGGAAACACAGGGAGCAGAAAACAGGCAGGCAAAACATAACGCTAATGGAGTAAAGAATAAATAAACAGAAGGAGGAAATAATAAACATGAACTAACAGTGTCTCACATTGTTTAGATAGCAGAAATTTGACTACTCATAGGTTATCCTCAATCAAAGTAACAAAACTTAACCATCTTTTTAAAAACAGGGAGACGTAGACTGACTCAGAGTAAATTACTGTCCTGGAAAAATGGCTCCACCACCAGAGCACAGCTGATAAACAAACTGACAAATACTCCGAACTAACTCATCCATGAAGTGATAATGCAGTATGAAGCGAAACACATTAAATACCTGACCACACAACCAGAAAACCACCTTCTTTCCACACAGTTTGGGTTATACAATCACGTTCAAAGGCTTCCTAGGTGGTCTCTTGTTCATTAATTTGTCTTGAACACAAAAAAGGCGTGAAGGATAAATTGCCAGAGAAGATTACCCATTGTTTAGTTCCTGTAGTCTCTGCAGTGGTTCATTATTCAACATGTTCAGAGGAAATGGATCGTTTTTGCAATGAGGCAGTTGTTCCATTGCATTCAGCGATATTTAGCTCCGATAGTAAGAGCAGTTTTGTGATTTCTTGAAACAAGTTGCTTTGCAGTCTGTTACATCAGCTTGTTAGAAAAACTTCCTCCTAAAATATTATTTATTGATTAGAATATTTATTTATTTAAAGTTTATATTTTATTGTTATTAGAGATGGACGATATATCTGAAAAACATATCACAATATCAGCATTTCATATCAGTCAATATCGATACTTGTTGACATCGGTAATTATTGATTAGTCTTTTGTTTTAAATATCTGAAATAATGCCAAACTGGTAACATGACCTTCTTTGTTTTGCCACAGTTTTCACTCCAAACTGTTGTTTTTTATTTTTATTTTGAAGCATTTATGAGGCAAAAATGTTAAGTGTTTCGATGAAAAATCTTTAGAATGTGCCAATTTCTTAATCTGATTAAACGTCAGAATAATCAGTTACTAAAATAATCTTTAGTTGCAGCCCTAAAATTATGATAACAGAAGGTGAAATTTAGGAGTAAATAATTCTAATAAAGTCAAGCTAAGATAAAGCTAGACGATATAGCTAAAAATGTATAAAGAAATAAGCATTTCATTTTGATGATTATTGATTAGTTTTGTTGTTTTAAATATCTGAAATACTGTCAAACTAGTTGACGTGACCTTTACTGTTTTATCCAGTTTTCAATTCATGCTGTTGTGTTTTTGTCTTTAAGCAGTTAAGAGGCTCAAAGGAGAAACTTTAAACTGCTGCTGCGGCAGTTACTCAACATGTGGTTGCTAGGTAACCAAAGGGTGAGTGAGTGAGTGAGTTGCTAGGCAACCAAAGAGAGCAGTGAGTTAGTTTATTCCGCCAACTTTGCTTAGCTCACCAAGGAGGGTTAAGCATATAGTCTCTATATCTACCAGAATGCTGTGGTTCAGTGAATATTCTACATATTTAGTATTAAATATTCTATCAGATCTATTATCTATTTGTTAACAAATTTGTGTAGTTGCTTTTGTTGAATCGACTTGTGATGTGATCTATATGTCTGTGAAAGGCACTATAATCCTAATTGTTATTAAGGGGCCCAACATACATTCTTGAAGAGTTTTCACTTCTTGGATACCAAATGAGTCCCATATATTGATGCTAAAAAAATAAATTACTTGAAAACCGAATGCCTTCAGAGCTTGCAAGCACGACTTTGATCACCAATGTTCTGTTTCATATTTTTATGCTTCCTAACTCTTGCATCTGTTAGTAAATCAAATATAAAAAAAATAAAGAAATGTTGTGGTGGAGGCAATGCGAAATGAAAACCAGAGAACTTTCTCTGTTCTCAGCTGCCTGTCCTTTCGAGTCGAGCCGTGCAGCTGGGATCGCTCTACGTCCGAGGACTGAGCCACCTGCTGGGAGCCAACAATGCCAGCGGCTGTGCGCTGCCCAGCGCCGCTCTGATGCCTTGGCAGGGCTTTGACGGTCGGCTGTTCCACTCCAAGTACCTGCTGGCACACGGCGGCGCGGAGAAGTCTGAGTTGCTGGACGGAGATGTGAGTGCAGACGTGAGAGAGCCTGATTCGGTCAGCAATGAGAGAGAGGGGAAGAGGATTCATCCACATTTAACATGCTGACTGTTTGAAATGTGTGAAACGTGACGTTTTAGATGTTGAGTTCAGTGAGATCCTTCAAAATGCTTGCATTTTAATTAAGCTTTTTCAAAGTTTGGAAAGTGGTTTATTTTAATATGAAGTCCTTGAAGATGCTTGATATTCAGGCAGCACATATTTTTATTAAATTGCAATCCCATGTTTAATTAAAAGCCTAAATTTACACACTGTAAAGAAAGTCTCTGAAAAATGTCTCCAATTTAAATTGGAGACATTTGTTTTTACAGTGCAGTTGAAACCAGATATTTAAAAATAATAAAAGCACACTTTTTATTTCACTGTCTGGAGTTAAATCAGACTAAAATTTCTTGTTTTATATTAGTTAGAACCAGCAAAATTATTTCTATTTGCTAAATGACAGAAAAGTTAGCAAGAACATTTTTTAATTGTTTTTCTATTTAACTTTCTTTGTATATTGAGCTTTAAGCATTTAATTTGAACAGGAAGGTCATTTATACTAACATGATTTGTTAGGATTTTTTAATGTGATGAATATTTATTGTTCCTAATGACTTATTGATCTGTGTAGTGAACATAAAGTTTGATTTTTATTTAGCACGTAACTACTGACATTGTTGGACTTTCTGTTAGTGTTTTGTTCTTGGACCAATCAGGTTTGTTATATTTAGTTTAACTTATATCCTGCTGTAGAATGCAGAATACTACCAGAATACTTTATTCATAACAGTAATTAATAAAATATAGTAGCGAATTGAAACTGTTTTTTACTTCATTTGGTGCTGTAGAAGTGTACTTACTTTCAAAATGCTTGAAAAATACTTGAATTTCATTGTGGGAAAAGTGTATAAACCCTGTGAATTATGTGTGGCCTTATGTTGGTATAAATTCTAAATAAATCTGTTTCTTTCTAGATGTTCTGCCTTTCTCAGTTTGTTCAGCTGAAGGAGAAACTTCTGGAAACCTGCAGGCAGAGAGGGAGAGTCCTGCAGTCGAGACCCAGAGAAACACAGAAAAACCTTCGACGCTCAAAAGCTTCAGGTGAGGCTGCAGACTCACCATTTATTTCCTGTTAATACACAACTTTTGATAAAGGAGATGTTGATTCAGCATGATGCATAAATCAGCGTTTTGGTCCTCAATTAAGTTTTTGTTTTCCAAATCAGGAAAAAGACCCCAGAATTTTTGGAGTGAGATTACATTCCTGTGTTTTACTCCTGATGAAAACATAAACTGGAAACCACACATCAGTAATTTAAAGACAAACATATCAGAGACAACTGGGTTATTATATAAAGTGGAAGACTCTCTGAATGACGAAGCGTCGGTGATTTTATACAGTTCACTGATTGTTCCTTGTTGGGCCAATTATGTAGACGTTTGGGGGAAATGCTTGTAAAGCGTTTATTCATATTGTCATTTTGACAGAAAGCTAATAGAATCATAATCAGAAATGATACAAAGATCCAACAAATCCATTGTTCCTAAACTTAAAATTGATGAAATTTCACAAGTAATGCACAAGTTATGTTTAAAATACAAAATATATGACCGGTAAATTTGCACAAAAGATTTATAAAAAATATTGCATTTATAGTTTTATAATGCATAAGAGATTTTTAAAAAGTCTTAAAAAAAAACAAAAAAAGTATTGTTGTATTTCTAAATATGGAGTAAATGTGCAGAATAATGTGTCTGAAGAAACCAGAGTAGATTATTTTTTATAATATCACTATATGTACGCTATAACAATCAAAATAACTTTTTTATTTCATTTATATAATCCTGTATATTCCGTAAAAATGTTTTGATTGTTTTTCTATAAACGTGTTGTAAGAAGGTATTAAATATGCAGCTACATGTTTCTGTCTTAAAGAAAAACATTTTATCAACACAAAAAATACATTTATAAATAAAACTACTCGAAATGTGTCTGAATCTATAAGACTTACAAATCCAGAGCTGATTAAATGAAAATAGAAATATCAGAAGTTCTGAATATGTTTTTTAATGATCACCTCTAATTTTGCTCACGTCCCTTTAGAATAAAGAAATACTTTTTACTTTTCATTCTTGCTGTGGATGTTTATTCTCTATTGCCTTTTGTTTGGTGTAATTATGCCGGCATCTGAGCCTGAACTCTTTGGAAGAGATGTTTGATCTTGAAACCTTCCTCGAGGGTCAGAAAGGACAAAACCTAAGAATCGTTCTGCTGTTTTTAGGATCCTGTGGCTCAAATGCATTCCAGAAAACCTCAGTGTCCTCGTTGAGCCATGGGACCCTCGTCGTCAAACCTGCTTTTCCAGTATGTTTCTTGTTTAGTAACTTTCTACTGCAGCAGGATAAACAAGCTCAGATACTGAACAGAAGAATCGCTGTGAAAGCTGTTCATATTCAGTTCAGAGGCTGAAGTTGGAGTTTTAAGCTTCTCTTTTTAAAACTACAATTAAAAGGAGATGATTTCTAAGTGTATTTATCTAGATGCTTTCAGATATTTTTTAAGAATAAACAGAAAATGTAACATTTTATTCGCAGGTTATACGGACAAATCTCAACTCATTAAAGTAATAAACTAAAACTAAAACATACAATAACACTTAAGCCCAATAAATTGAAGCAAGGCAATTATAATAATTTTTAAAAGAGAGTTAAATAACAATATAAGCTCTTTTTGCTGAGTGAAAGTAAGGATGGAGTTTCTTTCTCTTAAAATTCAGCTCTGGAAAATTAAGAGCCCACTGCGCTGAAAACCTCTTGGTTATTCCACCAAATACAGATTTCTGAACTCTTCCTGAGTTAAAACATTGGTGTTATTGTTTCTAAATGAAGATGAACTTCTTTTCTTTGCATTATTTTAGCTCTGAAAGCACTGCATCTTTTTGTTATTTTGGCCATTTCTCATTTTCTGCAAATAAGTACACAATTTTTGCTTTGAATTTCAGAGACATGTTGTCAGTAGTTCATGGAATAAAAGATCAAAGTTCATTTTACTCCAGCATAAGGAGTAAAATCAGAGAAACTGATTATTTTAAATGATCTCTGAATTGCTTCCAGAGCTGTATTAAGGGGATTAAAAGTTATCAATAATTAGTTTAACTCTTTGAAGTTCAGAAGAATTTTTATTTTTGAGTTTTATGACCAAAAGGTAATTTTGTAAAGAATATGCAAGCATTTACATTAACGTCTGGATTCAAAGCATGTTTCCATTTATATATTTACATTTATATGGGATCCTTTTTATTTCAGTCTTTTTTGTGTGTTTATTTAATTAATTTACAGTTTAAAATAAATGTCGCATGTTAACACAAACAAAAGTCTTTTGTAAAAGAAAATCTTATATTTTATATGAAATACTGTCTACCTCTTCTCCCAAATATCAATCTGCTGAACCACAAATAACAAAGCATCAACCATCCACAGATTGATGGAGGGTTGATCAACCATTAAGTTCTTTTTAAACTGAAAAAAGGCAAAATGCCTGTTTATTAACTTTACAAATAAAGATAATAAAGAAAAACCTTATCTTTGTAATAACACAGCACTCACTGATACCTCGGTGAGCTGAGCAAAGTTGGTGGAATCAACTAACTCTCTCACTCTCTGGTTACCTAGCAACTCACTCACTCTTTGGTTACCTAGCAACAACATGCTGAGTAACTGCTGCAGCAGCAGTTTAAAGTTTCTCCACTGTGCCCCAATTAAGTTGTTTTCTTTCAACATACTTCATTATAGCTTGAAAGTAGATTGTATTTTATTATTTTCTCAAAAGTAGTTTTGACCTATAGACACATCATATTTTATTATCTGTTATTTTTCTCATTTGGAAGTTTAATGTAAAAGGTTTTATATAAACAACAATACAGCAGCTTGGAGAGTCAGAAAAACATCAACTTAATGTTTTAATATTTCGAGAAAAGATGTAGCGTTTTGTCTAGGCTGATAGTTTATTATACCTACATGATGAAATCTAGAAGAATACAGAATTTATTTAAAGAAAAGTCAAAATTTAAGAGTTGTTTTCTTCCTCACTTCATTTTTTTTAAAATCATAAGCTTTATGTTTTACGCTCTAACTGATCTGACAATTGATCTATAGTTGTAGTTCTTTTAACAGAACCACATTACCCAGAGGGCCGTGCTGTAATGAAGTCCATGTGTCCTGTGGTCGTAATGCATATTTCTGTTTGTGTGTGGACACACACACACACACACACACACACACACACACACGCACACACACTCGGTGCTGTGCGCGGCTTGGTGGTGGCTTGCTTTGTCAGGGCAGCAGTAATAGCAGGTTTCTGTTTATAGGCTGGGAGAGCTCTATTTTAAGACACACAACAAGACGAACTGATTACAGACTCCTCACGTCTGTCTCTCCCCTTCCCCTCCGCGGCTCCCCTCTCCTTCACTCCTTCGCTCTTTGTCCTTTCAGTTTCATGCTTTTCTTTTTTCTTTAAATCCTAATTCACCTCCTCGCCTTCAGGTTGCATGCTGATTTTTAGCATCACAATGCAGCTGCAGCTCCTAACCGTAACATTTCCAACCTTCACCTTCAGGTGCCATGTTGGCGCCGACTCTTGGATTTGCACCGGACCGTGGGCTTTTTGCCCACGGCAACCCGTTGTGGGTCTCACGAGGATGTTTCTGGTTTGATAGATGAATGATATACACTCCTCATGTCTCAGAGTTTCATTTCTGTTGGACACAGACACCAATCATTACTACAGAACTGTGGGGAGATGAAGTGTGTGAGTGAGAGAGTAGTGGTGGCGCTATGTGGTATCATTGAGAAGCCCGGCTTGGTTTTTGTTTGGAATCGGGCCTGATGTTTAGTCTCCTCAGCGAATATCTCCTCTGCCTGTCTGCCCTCGCAATCACGCTCCGACATTGAGTCCAGAATAGCTGCTCTCCCACGTCCTAAAGGGAAACAGACGCTAAATTTGCAGAACATAAAATATGACCGGAGAGCTGCCATCTTCCTCTAATGACAATAATCTTAATCCTCCCAGATCCAATCTCCTCGACAGGTTTTAGAAGATAAAATAGTCAACAAAGCAGAGCCAAAAAAATCTTGTGTGGTTGTGGCCTAACATGCCTTTCACCAGCACTTGGCATCTGTACTTGTGCTTTTTTTACTCACTTCACACTAAGACTTTATATTGTGGCCCCATTCAGTTTAGTAGACCACATCTCTTTTGATAAAGTCTAAACCTGGACTTGGATGTTTTCTATTTTCTGTAATTTGTAATAAAATCACACACAGCTGCCTGATTTGCCTTTGTTAAAAAACAAACCCTGCAGCTTTTTTCTTCCACCCAGTTTAACTTTAAATGCAAGGCAGATATGCGTAGGAGTCAGGTTATGATGTCAATAACAAGCTAAGGAGAAAATATAATTTCTTTGTCACATTAGCTTCATATTTTAGTATTTTCCAAACATGCATTGCAAAATTATTCATACTTTATGACAGACTACACAAAACAATGAGTAAATAAGAACTTAAAGGACAAATTAAGCCTCAAACCTGGATTGAAATATTTAACGAAGCCAGGCTGATAGATTTAATAACAGTGTTGGATTCACATGTTAATTGAATTATCTTATCTGGACGTCAGCAGGCTGCGTCTTTATTTCTAGGAAATGCATCCAATCCTCTACTTTAGTGAGAAAGAAAGGAAAATGTGCAACTTTCTCGTCATTATGGCAGATATCAACTAAAGAAATTGAGACAAATTGTCTTTAGTGACTTTATATAGTCAATTTCTAAATTTCTAAACTTTTGGGATCATTAGTTGATTTCTGTTTTGTTGGCCAAATGTTTTCCCGTCTTGACTTGTGGTCAGGAGCTGATTACAATCATTTCAGGGGCCACAGATGGCCCCCGGACCACAGTTTGGACACCCTGGACTTAAAGGAAGCTCCTTTGTCTTGCTGAAAAGTTCCTGTAAGTTAGTTTTGTCTTATTTTAAGGCACTAAGATATTTGCACTAGAAACTAAACCAACAATACTTGGTAAGATTTTGTGTTTTTGCAGTGAAGAACTTTTTCCTCGTCTTTAAAGTCAAATTTTTTGAGTCAGTTTTGTTTTTAATGACTTATCGCGTGAACAAACTTATTCATGTGTGATTTTATCTGCATTTTCTTTTATACAATGGAAACAGTACAACTGTGAAATTGTGTATTTTTTGACATTAGCGGAATACCAATACAGTTTTGTGCACATTTCTTATGCTGCATTCACACCAAATGCATTCTGAGCAGCGAAAGTTCAGATACACAAGTCAAGACAGGAAAACATTTGGCCAACAAAACAGAAGTCAACTAATGATCCCAAAAGTTTAGAAATTGTCTTTTTTTTAATAGGGCGTCTGGTTTACATTCAAAGTCTATGTGAAGGCGATGTGCAGCGCGTTTCGCAGTTTGAACAGTTTGGAGCATTTGACACGTCCAACGCTGGACTTAGAATATCTGAACTTTCGCCGCTCGACGCGAAGCGTCAACCGGCACGTAGAGGTGCATTTTCCGACGTGATCTCAGAAATAAAGCTGTGGAGGATAAACTAATTCCAGTGTTTGCTCTCGTCCTGTAATCTACGACCAATCGAGCTACGACTACAGAGACAGGACTAGAAAGGACCTGACTTGGGAGAGGATCAGCGAGGAAGTTGAAACGTTTTCGGTGTGAATGCAGCATAATGGAAATGCAGCTGCAGATTCAGCAATCCCTCATTTCACAGCGTCAAATCTTCCATTTCCTCTGTTTATCTAAAGTTTTGTTGTTGTTTTCACCATCTGTCTTCCTCTCACTCTCAGGTTTCCCTTCAGCAGCTGATCAGGGCTGGACAGGAGAGACCAGAAGAGACCTTCAACATGGACAAACATGGAGGCAAAGAGAGGCGGCGTGTGGAGAACAAAGCGGCTATGAAAACCCAGAAACGCCGCAGTGGAGAGCAGATCACAGAGGGGGAGGTCAAAGTTTCCATTCACATCTCTCCAACTCCTACGAAGGTCGACCCCTGAACCGGAACCGGCCTCCGAAACAGAACCGAGGTCGGCTGCATCACAACAGAGGGAGATACCAGCTGGCTCCCAGGTAGGAACCGTCCAGCTCAGAAATACCAACAGATTGTCCTGTTTAAAAAACAAAACCAAAAAAAAAAACGATTTCTTCTTTCGTCTCGTCTCAGATGGCAACACCCTCCTGCTCCTTGAATATTACTGAAGCTTGAAGAGAGAGGAACTAAGGATCAAAGAGAAGGACTTGATAAAAAAAGACGTGATGAAAAGGAGGAGTGGATCAAATTCCTCTGAACAAACTGATTAGAGGATGATCCGTTGGGAATGTTTGTCTAAAGGATGGAGCAGGAAGAGAAACGGAGCCTAAACAGGAAACACAATGGTGATGGTGCCATGGTATGTTTAAAAGAAATCTACTTTATACCAGCAAAACCTTTTACATTTAAGGACAAAAACATTTAAACAAGACAAAGAACTAATAAAAATAAAGCTTTAGCACGCAGGTCTATGGTTTTACTCACAGTTTGGCTCTGTCTCTTATCTTTTACAAAAGGAAAATCTGTGTATTCAGGGAAATAATCCTTCCTACAGTAATGGGGTTTAGAGGAAACATAATGCTGGTGTCAGATATCAAATCCACCACAGCTGATATTTGGCCAAATAAAAGTGTCTTTAATGCCAACAGAAACAAATTACTTGTACATACTCTGAAAATAAATGACAACATGCCAAATTTTATCCAGGATTACAATTTATTTCTAAATTTGATAACAATTTGAATGAGTCTCAGTAGTCAAACTAAAGGCCCCGGGGCCAAATCCGGCCCGCAGTAAGTACTTATGTGGGCCTCCACATAAATAAAACTTTCACTATAAAAGTCGTGTTCTTAAATATTACTTTATTGATCAAATCAAAGCAGTTTTTATTTATACAATGTGGAAAAAATGTATATTATTTAATTTCAAGACGTTCTCATCGAATCCAGTGACAAGTATGTATTATTTTTAACAGTCAATCGGTAGCTTTATAAATACATCCTGCCACAACAGACGGAATATTCTCCTTTTGAGGATATTCAAAGATACTTTATTGATTCCAAAGGGAAATTAACTTAACTAATTTTGTGATCTTTGTGTGGCTCAAAAGGAAAATTTCCATGTGCCTGATTGTGTCTCAAATAAGACACAGTGATATCAAAACAATCAGAAACAAATTATAATCAGGGTTATGGTTTTACAAAATCTTACTAAGTATTTTTGGTCCAGTTTCCAGTGCAAATATCTTAGTAAACTTGAAATAGGACAAAGCCAACTTACAAGAAACTTTTCAAAAAGAAATAAGAGCTTGTTTTAAGTAAATAATTCCTTAATATTGAAGAAGTAATAGAAGTGAAATAATCTGCTACTGGAATGATTATGTTTTCATCAATATGAAGGATTTCCTCCTGAAAAGTTGGTTTTGTCATATTTCAACTGTCCTAAGATATTTGCACTCAAAACTAGACCAAAAATACTTTGTGCTTTTGCTGTTTTCCCAGCTTTGTTGGCGATCTGTGAAATCAAATATGGTTTTAAAGAAGCAGTAAAAAGTCTGCATATTTACTGTGTTTGCTTGAGTTATAAAAGGATGCAGGGCAGTTGTCTGAACCTCGACAGAAAGTGACTGATTTACTCATAAAACCTTTTTTAATGGGATGTAACCACACACTCCACTCCCTGTCTTTATTCCCGGGCCAGTGGCAGCAGAAGAATCAACAGAGCGTGTGGGTGTTGTGGGGTTTGTAACTGCGGTGAGTGCAGTGGGTGTGTGTGTGTGTGTGTGTGTGTGCGTGTGTGTGTGTGTGTGTGTGTGAGCGAGAGAAGGAGGCACCTGGGTGGGGCGCTCTGCACGCATACGCAACCCTTTCTAGATAACAGCAGGAAGGAAGATTTCTGTGGCGAAAGGATGGAGGGTGAAATAAAAGGCGAATTGGAGGAGGAAAATGATTGATTTTAAAAACTGGAGGAGACAGGTTAATGTGTGATGACGTAAGGTGGGAGAGAAGAGAGGAAGTCAATGTACCCTTTGCAACCGTCAGCTTAGTCATTGGAGGCGCCATGATGGAAATGAGGATCAGTTGTATTGAACAGATCGACTGAAAATGTTTTTGCCAGTTTATTCATGGCTTCTACTTGTTCAAAGTCGAGCTAATTTGTCTGAACGTAACACGCCTGGTTGAGGCTCATAGACGGAATCCGAACCTCCTCCCTCCTGACGTGTTGATCAAATTACAGATTTTGCCTGAATTCACACCACGTGATTTATATCATTTCCCTTCACACCAGAGCAATATTCAAAGCGTACAAAACACGAGAGGCTAACCAGTTTTTTCCATACATGCTAGGCTACATGACAGTGCGGCGTAGTTTCCATGGTTACCAATGTACACGTACCTTCTCCATAATGCGATATTTAATATCTTTCTAATCATACTCATAAAGAATATGAACGTTAATCTTCTTACCTTGTAAAAAGTGTTTATTGCGGATCCGAGGTTACACCGAGGGCTGACGGTCATTATGATTGACTTCTGCTGTCCGTCACCGCCGTATTTCCTCATGAAAAGTTATACAATAAAACGACAAGTTTGGTTTTCACCCTTATTTTGCTACCAGATATCCGTTTTCTGACGGGCTTACAGGAGTGAATTGGTTGTTTTAACGTCCATCATGGCGGTGTTCTGAAGACTGTGACGTCACCTACAAAGGGTCAGTAGCACATTTCAGCAACAAGGCTGTTCAAAGTGCTTTACATGATAAAAATACAAATAATTGAGGCATTACATTTTGCCAGGTGAAATCATACATCAAATGTTGGTCAGTGTTTCATTTATTAGGTTTCAAAAGCAGCTCTAACCAGTCTAAATTTAAAGGAACTCAGTGTTTCGGCTGTTTTACAGTTTTCTGGAAGTTTGTTCCAGATTTGTGATGCATAGAAGCTGAATGCTGCTTCTCCATGATGGATTCTGGTTCTGGGGAATGAGAGCAGAATGTAACCAGAAGACCTGGAAGGTTGATACAACAGCAGCAGATCTTTAATGTATTGTGGTGCTGAATTGATCAGTGATTTTTAAACTAACATAATTTTAAAGTCTATTCTCTTAGCTACAAGGAGCCAGTGTAGGGTCTTTAGAACTGGGTCGATGTGCTCCATCTTCCTGGTTTTAGTGAGAATGCAAGCAGCAGCGTTCTGGATCAGGAGAAGGGAAGATGAGCTGCAGGGAGTCTGCCGTCAGCCAGAGGAAACCCAGTTGGCAGTCTGACAGATCAGCTTCCTGTGTGTGTGGTGGAGGTCTGGGCGTGGTCCCTCCAGCAGCAACGACACAGACAGGCACACTTTCTCCAGAGGCCTCCTCCCTGGGACCGCCTCAGACCTCCTTCCTTTGTGATGGTGGACTTATCGAACCGCGCTCAGACTTTTCTCCAGCTGAGGTCATTGAAAACACTCTGAAGGCCGACTGTTTATGGAACGTTTCCCACCTTTTGTCACAACCACAAATTTAATTGAGATTTTATTTGAAAAATCATTATGAGGTGGTTAAAAAACTGAAAGAGGAAATATTTTTTGGGGGGGTGGGGGGGTCGTTGTGTGGAAAAAAAGGATACATGATTGTATTTTATTTTTTTCCAAACACAGCCACTTCCTCCTAAAAGTTTACTGTTAATATTCAGCTTGGACGATATGGCTGAAAAACATATCAAAATACAAGTCGACATTGATAATTATTGATTAGTTGTTTTTTTTAAACTCTTTTATCCACAGTTTATCCACAGTTTTTACTCTGCGCCATAGTGTTTTTATTTTTAAGCAGTTATGAGGCACAGAGGGAAAACTTTAAACTGCTGCTGCGGCAGTTACTCAGCAGATGGTTGCTAAGTAACCAAAGAATGAGTGAGCTAGTTGTTGCTAGGTAACCAGAGAGTGAGTTAGTTCTGAGTTCAGTGAATTTTTTAAATGTACAGACATATTATCTGCTGGTACTGATCACACGTCTATCGCAATACATATTGTTATTGATTTATTATCTAGCCCTAAGCTACCATTTTAAAGACATAAATGTTTACATTTTTGCTAATTTTTTCTTTGCATCACAGCTTAGGCTAAGTCAGATCACTGTGACCAGCTATTTTTAAGTTTTGCCACAAATTCTGAATTGTCAGATTTTTATTTGTAAAAAAGAGAAAAACGCATAACTTCACTCCTTCCCATAAATTTGTTTTAAATGGCATAAAGGAGAAGCCACAAGAAGCTTGATCCAACTGTACCAGAAAAAACATGTTACTCTAGGAACCAAGTCCAGGATTTCACTTCCTCTACTTCTGCAGTCACCTACTAGCAGGTGAAACAATACACTACCAAAACAATCACCTATCATGGCATGCAGCGTAGTGAAACTCAGCTTAATCAATCTAATATGCAGTGAAAACAATAATTGACTTGATTATTGCTTAAATTTTACAATTAAAAATCCTTGAAATTACCAAAAAGTTAATATTCCTAGTTATTAGACTAATAAAAAGCTCAATGCGATGTTATTGGGGCTGTAGTTACTCATATTTGGTGCTGATAATTTAACTTTCCTTGTGATCCCCCAGCAGTGCTGCAGTTTTACCCCCAGATACTTTTAAGGCTTCATCCTGAATTGCTGGTTTGTCCCAAAGCATCTGTGCCCTCATACTTCACACACAAAAGAATCCCGGGGGCAGAAATGACTGTTATTTTGTTGTTGTCGATTTCACAAAGGCACGCACCAGAGGGACACAGGCATCCAGAAATACACAGAGCCATGGTGAACGAATATAACCCGCGTGTATTTACAAAAGTCTATAAATACAAACTGCTTTCTTTAGCTGAGGCCAACACAGAGAGAGAGTGTGTGTGTGTGAGCCAGTAACCAGTTCAAACACACTACAGGCTGCTGCCCTAATGCCGTGTGGTCAGTGGAGTTGGACACACACACACACACTGACAGAGGCAATGATTGGAAAGGAGTAAAGTAATGAGAAGCAGGGAGAGAATGAAGAAACAGATGATGAAGTTTGAGCTAATTTTGAGATTTATTAGCGGACCATAAAACTTTCTCGCTGCCACTCCCGTCCAGTGAAGCTCATCAGAGTCTGAAGGTGATCATATAGGCTCAGCTCTGTTTTCATCATCTTATTTCTCACATATCAGGCAACAAAAAATATATTTTTGTACACTTTGTTTAGTTTTACAGGGGACCTGTTACGAACTTGTACTTTCATTTTGGGCTCTTCTGTTTCTAAAAATAACCCAAGTGCTTGAAAAACACACCCAGCTGTTTGTTGGCAATACGTCAATGGTTTTTGGTGATGGTCAGTGAGAAGCACTTCCCTTCACCTAGCAACCCCAGCAAACCCTGCCTGTTACCTAACAACTCAAGCTGAGCTCCAGCATGTTTGGCCAGCTGGTTTTACTGCTGTATGTGCTGTACAATGGCTGCTGGAAGAGATAACAGTTTTGTTGTTTACTTTCCATTTAAAAACCTCTTTCTGCATTCTTATTGGTTGTGTGGGAGGCTCCACTTCTGCTTTTCCAAGATGTACGGTTGTGTAATTGCACATCTGTTTTCACACGAGAGAGTAAACCCAAGGCCTACCATCTGGTTTGGTTTACAGCTTCTGTTTATTTGGACTTTGAATTCAGGTCAACTCCCAGAAGAGATGATTGAGATAAAA